ATGCCGTTGTAAATGGCTTGATGGAAAGCAGGTGTGTAGTCGGGGAGGGTGCACAGCTGATTGCAGCAGGTGAGTGGAGGTTGAGCCGGGAGCCAGGAGTGACAGCCACCACGCCCACACAAACAACACAGACAGGGGGAAACAAACAAACACAAAGGAGACGGCTGGAGCAGTACAGCCACCACAGCGTTACCTAATGCAACTCCACACTACGTCTTACGGTGCCGTGTACCGGAGGGGAGAGAGAGCATCGAAGGGGGGAGAGAGAGAGCAGCGAAGGGGGGGAGAGAGATGTAATACGGTTTCTTGATAAAGCTGTGGAGACGGAGTATGTGCTGCAGGGAGGTGGATGCACAACGCACCCAGGAACGAACGCTAGCTCCGGTCCTTTTCCCGTGAGGGAAACTGTGGACTCGATGCCCTGACAGGCTGGAGTTTGTGCAACCTGCACAAACACAAGCTCACCATGATTACAAATGGTGAAATGCAATGTAAAATTACCGAAAAAATACCAGCTCACTAAATCACAACCGCTCAAACCAACTACAAACTACTACCGCGGATTGGGCAGAGAACGAGTCTGAGAAAGTTAACTCCCCCATGTGACGTAATATGACGCGGCAAGGTTTCAGGCAAGGTTAAGCATAAATGTAGTAAAAAAAAAAACCTGCAAGTTGCTCTTTAAGTCCTTTCACTTCCTCTGCATGTTTTCTAAACAATAACACATGTTTACATGAACAGTAAATTAATCATCTAATCAAATGCTGTAAGTGGACATACATCAATGATAATACAGTAAAGACAGTATTCAAAACATTATTTAACCTTTACTTAGCATACATTTCAGTGTAGTTAATGGAACTGCAGAGCACAGTAGATTGTTAACACCACATCTGGCTGGCTAATAATACCAACACTGTGATCACACCTTAGGGAAAGGTGGTTAAAAGACGGAGCGTTCAACTCTTATTCAACTTCTACAGTAAATCTTGAATGATGTCACCTTGCTGTGGGCGTAAACTACAGATCCCAGCAGCTTCCAGGTGCCCCCCCGGCGGTCCATACGCAGCATGCGCAGGATCTGCAGGAATCTCAAACTCCTGATGGCCGAGGTGGCGAACACATTGCCCTGAGAACCGGCCGCCAGCACTGATACTGAGGCGATCAGCACCATGATGTCTGGAGAGAGAAGACACATCACAGAACTCTGAACACGCTGGGGAAGATACAGATCCCCGATCAAATCAGGAGTGAATTACCAACACTTTACTGAGTACAACGAGGACCGATTTCCGTGTAATTCAAAAGTTGCTTAGAGTAGTTAGAAGCAACTAGAAGAGTCAAGTTTTCTTGAGTTTGTTATGTTCTGTTAATGGCAACCAATATGGGGAAAATTACAAGAACCCTTAACAAAGATGGTTATTATATTCAGGACCAAAGCCTCCAGCATTAGAATGAATGGAAAAAACACAGTCTTTGTAATGTTTTATGATCAGAGAGGGGAAAAGTACACACATCCTTTACTCAAGTAGAAGTACAGATACTTCTGTTTAAAAATACTCTGGTAAAAGTAGAAGTACTGACTAAATTTCGTCACTCGAGTAAAAGTAATATGGGCTTTGAAATGTACTTCAGTAAAAAGTACCCATAACTAGCAGCAACCTGTTAAGCCCCAGACCCTGGTTTTTTTTTTCAGGACACTGTGTCTCAGGGGATCTTAATATTTAAGAACCTATTAATGTTTTATACCAGATTAACGGAAATAATCTCAGCTAACTGACGACATAAACCATTTTTACCAAAACAAAACCCAAGTCTCATAAGAAGCATCTAAATGACCCCTTAGCGAAAAATGCTAACGGACATTGGCACAGAACTCAAGATAAAAGTACCCTTATTACTTATCGTAGCTGCACATACAAGATGTCCGATTAAAGCTGAGGTTCCACAGATTATTTAGGTATATAGTATCATCACTGAGTGATCCGAACTCGCGACAGGGGAAGCAAACACAGACATCGCAACACGTACCTTTACGGAGCTTCTAGGGAGATCGTCTCACCGTAGCTGTCAATCTGATCAAAAGACGTGTTCAATCGCATTAAAACGAGAAAAAACGCGGCTGAATCGGTTAATCCATAGGTTTTTAACGTCTCTTTATAAAAACATTATTTCATTTATAATCCATAATTCCATTTTTATGTAAAAATCGGACAGCAAAAGTTAGCAGCTAATGGTAGCCACCAGAGTGGCTGCTGCTTCCGGTCTTGGCTATGCGTCAGTCTAACACAGGGGTTCCCAAACTTTTCCATGCCAAGGCCCCCCAAAAATCATTAGCTTCTGGCCGGGGACCCCCTTTGCAAACCCACCAACAAGGAACCTACTACCCAATCATCCTGATTTTTCGAAATCCTGGTTTCATGTTGTATATTATTCATGGGGACATAGTCTAACTACGTTTTGTTCAATATAAACTGGAAAATCTGGCTAAATCGTTTTTTTTGAGAAGACCCCGTAAACCCACCTAAAAGTTTAGAGACCGAGGGGAACGACCTAAAACTTACACTGTAAGAAAGATTTAACAGTCTCGGTTACCGTAGCTCCCCTTGAGGGTGTATAGGAATAAACCATTACACACACACAATCCTGGTCACCAAAAGTTTCACCCCGGCGCCGGGAACCCCCCGGCGGTCCCCCGCGATCCCCCCGGAGTCTTTTAACCTCCCTCTATTCTTTTTTTTTCCTTTCTGTTTTTTTTTTTAAATTAATAAAAATTATTTATAAAATTAGACTAAAATTTTTTTTAGTATAAATATTTTATATTAAAATATTATTACCTTGATAAATTAAACGGTTATCAGTAAAAGACTAACGATAGTCAGTTTTTGTAGCAAGTGCTGCGGTACGCAGTCAAATCTGGACCGCCAAACGCGGTAAATAGTTCGCGGAAACGAGGAGTGTCGCTCGTTCGATCGATCAGTTTTACCTGTCCAAAAACTGTTTCTTGTCCATTGCCTTGGCTGGTTGTCGGGACGACACCTCCTGTGACGACGTTTTTTGGATTCTTGAGGCCGGGTTAATTTTAGTCTTCCATGCTCCGTCGCATGTAATTCATACCGAAATGTCGGTATGGTCTTTTTTAACCGGTACTAACGGGCTTCCACACGAGACCAGACCTATGGGGAGTTGCCTCACAAATGTTGAAGCTTTGAAGTCCAGTGAACACTTTTTTTAGGCCGTCTCCGGCCTTTTTTGCCGTTGAAGAAAGTCTGCATTTCTCCCTAGTAAACCGGTCCGTTAGACGACCGTAGTGTGTCCCGTTCGATGGCAAGGGCTCGCCCGGGACTTCCGTAAGTAAAAATGAAGTAGGTGTAACGAGCACGTTTTTTTGGAGTGTGTTAGCCCTCCCTAAACGAAATGGTCGATGGTTTCTGTAACAGGCTCTTACGAACCGCTCCTAACGACGATTTTTTTACTGCGACAGGGTGAGAGCCTGTTGTGGCATCGGCTGCCTAACCACTGTACCGCGGTCCTGAAGACGAGTCGAAAAACCTCGTCCACTTCGGCGCTCATGAACGCGAGAAGTTGTATCTACTCTGTGTCTGATAGCTTACTCCCGGTTGACGAACGACATGTAAGCTAATAAAGGTCCTCTCTAAACAGCCCTTTAATGACAAAACACTTCGTGAACTTTCTTCTTGGTGACCTTTCTATAAAAAGTTCAAAACCTGCTATATGTAGCTCAATTGCCTAACTTGACCCGGGAGACACACCACCAACACAAGCCTGCCTCGGCGCGCATTACTGGCCGTTCTAGTCACCTCACCTGGCGAGAGTAATTCGTATTTCGGGGCGTACATCAGCGGTGGTGCGTACAGGTGGCACTCCGTGGAACAGCGTTTTTCCTACCTATTCTCAACTTAGTCCATGATGTCCTCCACACATGTTCACCACTTAAATAATTTCGGCGGGGAACTTTGTGCTGACAAATGGGACGAAACCATTACTCTCCCGCGGGCAAACTCCCCGACGACGAAGTGATTTGTACGCGACCGACAGTGCCCCCGCGTCAAAACCTTGGCACAGATACTCGACGCCTCCCTCCAACCCTCTCAATAGAGAGAAGGACTTTTTCGTAGTCGACCGTCTCGCCAAGTGAGGACTACGTTTGGACCGTAGGCGTTTGACGTAACGTACAGATCTGTAATAAAGACGTAGGTTTACGTACTGGTTTCGTACGTTCCTGCACTGTGCATGTATGCGTCCACGTTCCTGTTTCAACGCACGAAGAAAGGTTTTTCTAATACGACACCAGGTTTGTTGAAGGTCCTCCCTCAGTGCTCTACAAGGGTGATGAAGTGGTCCTCGACGACAGTACACTACTAAACCCGGAGGTAGGAGAGTTACTAGGTCAGGGTGGACCTCGTGGAGGTTCCTATAAAATTTCTGATAAAGGGACTGGAACTTTTGTGTGTAAATTTGACCCAATCCTTTGGGGAAAAGGGGCGCCACAGCCAAGATCAAACCTGGTATTTCAGTGTCCTCCTCGACTAACTCTACTGTTTGAGTCCCCTAAATTTTGATTTGAAACTCCGAGAAGGGGACAGATTGATGACCGATGTACATTCTTTCCTGATAGGTGGAACCGACTGTCCCGTGACTTTCGGAAGAGGGAAAACGTTGTTGAATGAACACACTGGACCCGAAAAGTTGAAATTTCCATGAGTTTGATTTGTATCTCGTGCAGATGTTACACCTGTTACTGTACGCATACCGTGACTGTCTGTAATTCGGGTCCGAACTGTCTGACCACATCCTCGGTGGTTCGGGTAGGGAGGGTGATCACACTAGTGACAGACAGTGAAGGTTGTGTGTGGTGTGTGTGTGTGTGTGTGTGTGTGTGTGGTGTGTGTGTGTGTGTGTGTGTTGTGTGTGTGTGTGTGTGTGTGTGTGTGTGTGTGTGTGTGTTTTTCTCTCCAAACCAAAGAAAAAAGACAAAAACATAGTAGTTGTCAAACAACTTTCCAAACAATAAGTCACCCTTTATATCACAACTTGAATGTCTTGGTTCAGTCAAATTATCTAAAAAAAGAAAAAACCTGACTTTTGAAACTTCTGTATTACGTTCTTTCTGTTTTTTTTTTTTTGAGAACGTATACATTTATATAAAAGACATCCCATTTTACATAACGTTGATCACAGATATTATTCTTTTTGTAACACCACCTTGTTTCTACGGGACGGTATGTTAGAATAAGACACAACTTTTGTATAACAATTATAATAAGAGTACGGATTTGTTTACATTATTAATGTTCATAACTTATCTCTTATTTTCATTGTTTTTGCAAGAATTTCAACTACACACTGTAT